CCACTGGGCCGCTCACCGATCTGTTGCATTCGCGCAACGAGGGCGTGGCCACCTACGCCGCCGCCGTGCTGTTCCGCATGAGCGAGGACAAGCCGCAGGACTACAAGAAGCGTCTCTCCATCGAGCTGACCAACTCGCTGCTCCGCGAGGAGAACAACATCTGGGCCAACGCTGACCTCGGCATGGGTCCAGACTTACAGGTGCGTAACGCTCCATTTCTAAACAAATATGCCAAACGATTTCCACTTTGGAGTTGAATTTTCATTTCAATGTTTGTAAATACATTATACAATATAAAACCTATGTTTCAATACCCCCCAAACTCCACAAATTTGTACATAAAAACAACAACTGTAGCAATACATAGATATAAACTATTTGTAAGCCGCAGATCAGTATTATGTATATAATATTTATATATATATATATATATATATTTTAAACAAATTGCCAACATATCTATTATTATTCATTGTTTTCGAATCATTTTTAATGTTAGTTTTAAGTAGAATTTGATTGCAAGCATCTGGCCGTAGCAACAACTACAATTTGAAAAAAAAAAAAAAAAAAAAAAAAATATTTTGAACATCGTTAAATTACATCCTTGATTATATATATAAATATATATACATTATTTAGCTATTTTAATTTAAATATGTTTACTAATTACCGTTTAATTTTTGATTTTGTAATTAATTTGAATTTTGATTTATTTCGTTTCTTTTTTTCTTACATTATGTTTTGTTTGTGTGCAAAAAAAAAAAAAAAACATTACCGAAATCGAACCAAACACACCGATCTCACTTGCATCACGCACAACAACAACAACAACAACGAACACATCCTCTCTCTCTTTCTCTGTCTCTCTCACACACATAAACGCAACACAAAAACTCGTGTTCTGTGTCTGTGTCTCTCTTCTATTTCCTAACAACTTTTCACTTCTGATCCATCAAAAAAAAAAAAAAAAAAAAATAAAAAAAAAAAAATGAAAAAATAACACACACACACACACTCCAACCCACTTTTCGCACACACATATACACACACAATACACACACTCAAATTGACAACACGTACACGTACACAATCACGTTCACGTTCACAATCACGAACACGATCACGATCACGATCACAGGATATGCTTGGACCCGAAGAAGCATATGAGGGCCTGTACGGACAAGGTCCGCCCAGTGTGCACAGTTCGCACGGAGGTCGCGCATTCCATCAGCAAGGTATGTATGCTCGCTTCCACCTACCTAGTACGGCTTTAAGGATCTCTACTACAGTCAACACTAATCAATCACAAGTCTTAACCCTGCCCATCGCCACAGCCTCTGGCCCTGCCCCTGCCCCTGCCCCTGCCCCAGCCCTCATTTAATTGCAATTAATCAATTTATGAATGTGTGTGTCTATTCATTATATTTGTTCAAGCCGAAACCATCAGATGACAAAAAATGGATAACCCAAATGCAAAACAAAAAAAATGCTGCGAAAACGCTAAATTGACAAGTTTTGCCCCCTCCCCCTACCTCACCGTAGTTAAAACACTAACCCCATCATGGTCCAACACACCCCAAGGAGCCAACCGCTATCATCATCATCATTAATCAATTAGTATTTAAGTGTCCTTATTAACAATTATTGCAAACATACATACTAAGTGTCTAAGCGATTGCTGAACAAGTGTCGTTCGTTGGTCAAACCTGAGTGCACTTATATATCGATATATACAAACATAAGTGATTAACCGTTATGCATATACTATATATAAATACATATTTCAATGTCTTATCGATTAATACACGAGTGTTGTCCTTCCCACCCACCCCTTAATCGATTACAAGTCATCGAACTGAAAAGTGAAATTCACATGAACCAGTTCTAATTAGGATTTGCCCACCAAATCGAAATGTAGATCATGTGAACTTTTCTTAAATCTTCGACTCTCTTATGCTTGACACATGTTTATCATTTATGTGCCCTGTATCCCATTCAGAAACCCAGACACAGTCGCTATGGATAGCGCAATCTCCCCCCTAGTCAATCACTGCCATCCATTGACAATGTGCATGTAAAATGTGCTACATACATATATATATATATATATATATATATATATATATGTATGTGTGTGTGTGCATTCATCCAAATTCATCAAAACTTTACTTCATTTCTCTTTGCGTCTGTTTAGTTAGTTATAAACCAACCCTATTATCCGCTAATAATTTAAACTGTCTCTGCTCTTTAGAAAATGGGGACAAATGGGGTTTACTTAACTTGGAGTGGAAATATTAGCATTAGCATTTATTTGGAATCATTTAGCAACTGGATCAACTTGTCTTCGGTGCTTTCATGTGTTCCATTCCATTTCATTTCTCATAGGGGAGCTAGCATAGTTAGTTTATATATACACATACATACATACATACTTACCATAATCACAGAAACACACATACACATTCACACACAGAAACTCACAATTTTGACATGAAGCAGGAGACGCCCTCAACAATTTCAGTTCTTAAACAATTTACCAAATATGATTTATTACGTTTATGTTGACGTTAATTAAACATTAATTTTGCATGTTTCTTTAATGAACAATAAATCATATAATTATATACAAATATATATGTATATGTACATGCAAAAGTAAAAGTAAAAGCATGTTCTATATATTCTATGGTATTATTCGATATATTTCTTTATAGCGAAAACTGTATATATTTGATTGATTTGCTTTAATTATTTTTGGTTTGACTTCTCATTCGTGCAGGATATGATACTCTACCAATAGATTCAATGCAAGGTCTCGAGATCAGCAGTCCGGTAGGTGGTGGTGCTGGCGCTGCTGGCAATGCTGCTGGCGGTGGTGCTGGCGCCGGTGGCGCTGCTCCGCCCGGTGGGGCACCCACATCGCCCTACTCCATGGATATGGATGTCGGCGAGATTGATGCGGGCGCTTTGAACTTTGATTTGGATGCCATGCCCACGCCACCCAATGACAACAATAACTTGGCTGCCTGGTACGATACCGACTGTTAAGCACACATGATAAACGGATGATGCAAGGAGAAGATCACGACAACTAAGACGATGACGACGACGACGATGACGATTTCGACGGCGATTATGAAAGTCGTGCAATTAAAATACACACATTACATTATATATTAACATAAAGCAGAACAAACATATATAAAGTACGAAATCTTACATATTACCCATATACACAAAAACAAAAAATGGAAATTAAACGAATGTTTGCAATAGAATCATAAATTAAAACAAAAAACGTTTTTCAACTCAAAAACTTGGAATTGCATGTATTTCCTTCTCTTTCTTTGTCGAATGGCAACGCCAACAGTTTGGAAGCAACTGAAATGACGCACGTGCTATCGATAACCCTTGTGTTGGTTGTGTGCAGTCAAGCACGGGCAAATTGTTGATGTACAGTAGACTCTGGCTAGGCGAGACATCCATAATGTGTGAGCACTGTACTTGGATATTTCAATAGACATTAATTCGTTTGGCCAACACAACAATTTCATGTTTTATTAAAACATTTACTTAATCAGATATGAGTTATCTATAAATGCTTGCCGAACCACTTGTGATCCACGGGCGACAGCCATCGATGGCAACCATTTAGATTATTTTGTACAACATATTTGAATGTGAATGGGTTTTGGTTTTCGCGTGCCAATTGCTCCTCCTTGGCCTGCTGTTCATCCAGCATCTCCTGCGAGACGACCATGGCCTGGAATGGCAGCTGATTGGCCACCTGCTCCAGGAAGCCCTTGCATTCCACGAACTCACATTTGCCAGCGATTTCGACTATGACACGACCGGCCTTAATCGGGGTCACGTAATGATCGATGGCGCCCTTGCCACCGCCCATACGCTGGCCTTGACCCTTCTTGGTGATTGGCTGCCAGGGCGCTGGCACTCGCCATGTGGCGAACATTGTGTTCACATTCATCTTGCGACCGATGGTCAGACGCATCATTTCGTAGTGGCCCCAGCGCAAGCGACCGCCACCTGTGGCAATGATCCCATACTGTTTGTGGAGCAGCTGGTTGTGGACGAGCTCAGGGCCGCGCATGTAGCGCAGACGTTTCTGCATTTTGGGTGGCCGAAGATTGGGCGGCAGCTGGGGCATGCGCTCCATGATACGCAGCTTGGGTCGATCCACCTTCTCGATATCTGCAATGCGAGCCGCAATTTGATACAATAGTAATAATGTATATTTTATGATGGCATACTTTCATATTTGATTGGCGGTGGGAAATATTTGAGGCCGGCTACGCAATTGTAGTTCACATTGGCAGCTGTAAATTAGATGGTATTGAATCAAAATAGTTCGGTGGTTGTGATTAGCTATATCGTCTCACATGCTATGCTGTTTTTCAAGACTTGTGTGACGGTTTTTAAGCACCACATGTTTCCTTTTTAATATATTTATTTAATATAATCTTAAATCCATGAATTTGTTCTGTTGATGGTTGCATCAGCGCAGCGTTGCCAGACTGTTGTCGCAATAATACCCAAAATTATTACAATTGCTTTGTCTAGAAGCAATCAACAAGTAATTATTTCAAAAATTAAATTTATGCTTACGTCAATTTTCTGAGTTTTAGCATGTACTTATAAATAATGTTTAAATACAATTTTTATAATTTTTTTTTTTGTAAATGAAGCAGCACTGTTTTCGCAGTAGCGTTGCCACACACATTTCGTTATCGTATATATATTTCATGATGGTGCGCGTTATATACACATTGTTTATATACTGTAGATTAGTAAGGAAAATGATTTCATTCATATATTTGAGATAATAAAATGCCCAATATTACAATATGTGCTGTCATGCTCCAACCAGTCCTACAGGTTGCCTGTGCAGGTGTATAATTTGCGATTGGTTGCGTTGATGGAAACAAGGTATTCGCGTGTGGGTGTGTGTACATATTGTTATCGAAAAATGCAACGCTGTCAAAGTGTGGTATTTTTCTTCATATATTATCACTGGTTAAAGTTTAGGATACCCTGCGCATACACGAAAAATAATTTTTTTTGTCTAAATAGTGTATGTTTTGAAACATTCTCTATATGTACATACAAACAAATAGAACTCCATATCCAAGTGCATTAAGCAACAATTGCTAGCGTTTAAATGTGTTTGGCCGCTTAGTTTGTTGTTATGAATATATCGAAAGTGACAACATCGCTTGCTGCTGCGGCTGCTGCCGCCGAAAAAGCGAAACCCGAACGTGTAACATCTGCAACGGCAGCGCTCAATTTTAATACAATATCCATACAGAAGCGCACCAGTGTGGACGACAACGACGATCCGAATCGCAAGAAACTGAAGCGCGATATAGTTATATGCACGCCCACAACCAGTTTACCCGCCAAACAACGTGCAGCTACAGCTACAGCTACAACAACAGCAACAACAACTACAGCAGCAGCAACAACAGCGCCAGCAGCAACAGCAGGAGCAGTAGCTGCCGTGGTAGTACCAGCAGCATCGTCATCATCATCATCATCATCCATAAACAAATTAACGGCTGACGAGTCACAAACAGCAAGCATCAGCATTGGCGGCAATTTCGTTAGTCACGCGAATACCAAGTCAGAAGCTGCCGCTGCCGCTGCTGCTGCTGCAACAACTTCAGCTGACGTCTGTTGGGAGCAGCGGGATGATCAAATAATCGTATGTGAAATGAACGCCATCAAGCCAGAGGAGTCGTCCAGCACCAACACGAACACCACCAACGCCACCATCATCAACAACAGCAACGCCAGCAGCAGCAACAGCAACATCAGCAATAGCAACAACCCAAAGCAAAGTGAGTTTGAGTTTCTGAACAATCTGTGTTGTAATTATAATAAATTTATATTTCGTATTGCAGCTTATGCCAGCTTTACCAAAAAAGATGTCACAGCAGCATCAATTTCCTCATCCTCCTCCACAGCCTCCATTATATCCATTGAGTCGAGTGCTGAGCCGACGCCGAGCAACAGCAGCGAGCAACCGCAGTCACAGTCACAGTCGCAGTCGCAGTCTCAGCCGCCACCACAGCTGGGCAAGACGGTGACCATTCAGGAGCTGGACTATGTGCTGTTGCCAGCGACGACTACGGCTGAGCTGAAGCCAGCGGCCACGCAGCAACATGAAGCAACAGTTACGAACAACAATGCCACTGGCAGCAATGCCAGCAGCAGCAACAGCAACAACAACAACAACAACAACAGCAGCGGCGGCGCCGGCAGCAGCAGCACCAGCACCAGCATTAGCATTGCCAGCAACAGCAGCAATAGTATTGCCAGCAGCAGCATCATTGCTACAAAGCTAACAACGGCTGCCCAACTGCAGCCGGGCAGCTACAACATGTTCAACAGCGGCACAGCAACGGGCGCTGGCACAGCGACGGCGACGGCAACAACAACGCTGCTGAATCGCGTCAGCTTCCAGACCAAGTACAAGGGCCAACAGGTGATGGTGAATGCCAAGAAGCTGGCCGAGGGCACGCAGACAACGGCCAAGGTGTCCATTGGCAACAAGATGATATCGGTGCCGCTGGTCAAGCCTCAGATTCTGCAGGGCGGCCAGTTTATGAGTGCGAGCGGTGCGACAACGGCGGGCGGCGCCACCATTGTGGAGAGCAAGCAGCCGGGTACGACGGTGACGACGGCAACGGTGACCGCCCAGCAGGCGCAGCAGCTCCAGCAACATGCACACCAGCAACACCCGCTCCAGCAGCATCCGCACCAGCAGCAACAACAACTGAACCTCAAGCTGGTCAAGTCGCGCAAGAACCCCACCACAATCGTCTCCTTTGCCAATGTACAGATCAAGCCCGCCAATACCAAAATCGTCACCGCCAAGGTGGTCAGCAAGAAGATGTCGCTGCAGTTCCAACAGCAGCAGCAGCAACACCTCCAATTGCAGATACAGCAGCAGCAGCAACAGCAGCCCGGCACCGGCAGCATTGTGACGATTACCCCAACAAATTCTGGACAAACATTTACCATGCTGCAGCAGCAGCAGCAACAGCAACAGCAGCAGCAGCAGCAACAGGACAAGCAACAGCACGATGGCGAAGCACACGACCAACAGCAGCAGCAACAGCCGAAGACAATTACCTACAGCGAGAACATCCAGAAGATCTTGCTGAACAAGAGCAAGTCCATGGATGGTGGCGAACTGAGCACCGAGTTTGGCAAGATCAAGAACAACGTGGTCATCAAGCAGCTGGACAAGAGCCAGCTGCACTGCACGCCCAGCATCAACATATTCAAGCAGCAGGCGCCGCAGCAACAACAGCAGCAGCAGCAGGGCGCCGCTGCTGGCGGGGATGAGGCGCTGCCGAAGCCAACGACCGGCGCCACGCTCTGCGCACGGCCCATCATCTCCATACAGAAGAACATCTCGCTGGTGGTGTCCAAGACGGCGATGGGCCAGCAGAAGTCCAAGATGATCACCACATCGGCCAACAGCGGCGCCACACTGCAAATGCAGCCCTTCAGCACGCTGGACGCCGAGACGGTGGGCAAGCTGCAGCTGAAGGCGCAGACGGTGAAGCTGGCCGAGGCGAAGGTCGATGCGGGCGACGGTGAAGCGAAGCCGAAGCTGTTGCTGGTTAAGCAGGCGTCGGTGCCGGTTGATAACCACAAGGAGTTGCCAGCTGAACAGCAGCAGCAGCAACAGCAACAGCAGCAGCAGCAGCAGCAGCAGGACGAGCAGCAACAACAGCAGCAGCAACAGCAGCAGCAACAACAGCAGCAACAACAACAGCAGCAACAGCAACAGCAGCAGCAACAACAACAGCAACAGCAGCAGCAGCAGCAACAACAACAGCAGCAGCAGCAGCAACAACAACAACAGCAACAGCAACAACAACTGGGCAACACCACAGAGAAACGCATCACGTTGCACACGCGTGTGGATGATTCCAATAATGCGCTGCTCAAGCAATTACTGCAGAACAGCAGCAGCAGCAGCAGCAGCAGTAGCAGCAGCAATAGCAATAGCAACACCAACAACAACAACAACAGCAGTGGCAGCAACAACAGCAGCAGCCACAATACGCTGCAACAGATATCGATTACATCGGCGCCGCTGTCGGCGCGCAAGGTCATCAATGTGCGGGCGCCGAGCATGGGTCTGGTCAGTTCGCTGGAGGCGCAGCTGGCACGGCCCGTTATACCGCCCGTGCCGGCAGCTGTGAGCAGCAGCAGTAGTAATACGAGCGGCAGCGGCAGCTGCAATACAATCACCACAACAACGGCCACAATGGTGGCAATTAGTCAGGCGGCGTCGGCCACTCCTATGCCTACGCCCACTGCCACACCCACACCCACGGCCACGTCAGCTGTCGAGCAGCAGCAGCAGCAGCAGCAGCAGCAGCAGGAGCCTGCACCTGCAGCAGCAAACACAGCTGTGACAGCAGCAGCGACAACAACAACAACAACAACCGCTGCTGCAGCAACAACAGTAGCAGCGCCGCCCATAGCAACAGCAGCAACAGTTGCTGTTGCACCGCCAGCACCACAGCTGAAGCAGTCGGTGCAAATTGTATCCAAGGAGACATCCTTCATATCCACACCCGTCTCTGCCTCTGCTGCCTCAGCTGCAGCCGCCGCCGCTGCCGCTGCCGCTGCTGCTGCCGCTGCAGCTGCTGCGACCGCTGCTGGCACAGTTGCAACAGTTGCGCCCTCTGCCCTGCCCGCCGTGACCAATAAGCTGCCCGCGCTGCTCGTGGAGCCGAGCAGCAACAAGACGGAGCCACTGCCGCCGCCGCCGCCGTACGAGCTGAGCACAGGGCACGTCTCGAATGTGACCATTTCCATCACCACCAAGCCCAGCAAGGAGCTGCACAAGCTGAACAAGCTGGAACCGCAGGACGACACGGAGCAGGAGAAGCCGCAGCAGCAGCAGCAACAGCAGCAGCAGCACCTGTCCGCGCCTGTGCTCAGTGGCGACAGCTGGAAGCTGCAGGAGAAGCCGCCAAATGTGAATCTGCTCAATAGCGAGGCGATCAAGCGAAAGTTGCCCATGCAACAGCAGCAGTTACAACAGCAACAGCAGCAACAACAGCAGCAGCAGCAGCAGCAGCTACAACAGCAACAGCAGCTACAGCAGCAGCAGCAGCAGTTGCAGCAACAGCAGCAATTACAACAGCAGCAGCAGTTGCAGCAACAGCAACAATTGCAGCAACAGCAACAGCAAAATCAACAGCAACAACAGCAACCGCAACATCAGCAATTGCAGCAACATGCTGAGGAAAAGGAAGTAAAGAGCGAAATTGCTGTGGGGCATAGCAACAACGTGGATCATGAGCTGATAAAGGCACGCATAGCAACGCCAGCAGCCGCATATGAGAAGCAGCAGCAACTGCAGCATCAACAGCAGCCACAACACCAACAGCAGCACCAGCAGCAGCAGCTGCAAATGCAGCTACAGCAGCAACAGCAGCAGCAACAGCAACAGCAACATCAACAGTTGCAAATGCACTTGCAGCAGCAGCAGCTATTACAACAACAGTTGCAGCAGCAGCAGCAACAACAACAACACCAACAACAGCCACAGCAACAACACCAACAGCAACAGCAGCAGCAGCAGCTATTGCAGCAACAACAGTTGCAGCAGCAACAACAACAGCTACATCAGCAACATCAACAACACCAGCAGCTACATCAGCAACAAATGCTGCCACAGCAACAGCAACCGCCAGCATCCGCATCAGCAGCAACAACAATAACAGCTCTGGCTGAGCCCAAGGCCGCGGAGCAGCGTAAGCGACGTAAGCGCGAGGCGCAGAGACCTCGGCGCAGCAATGCGAATGCCGCTGCTGGCGCTGCAGCCGCGGCTGCTGCTGCTGCGGCGGCGGCCGCTGCTGCCGCCAGTAGCAGCCTGCGGGACATGCCCGGCACGTTGCCAGCCGGCGCTGTGGTGCAGCTGACCAATATGCCGGGCAATGTGCAGCTGGGCGGGCCGATGGCCAGCAGCGGAGGCGGCAGTGGCAGTGGCGCTGGCACGGCTGGAGGAGGAGGAGGAGGTGGTGGTGGTGGTGGCGGCGGCATTGGTGGAAGCGGGGGGCATTTACTTGCGGGCAGCGGCTCCGGCATGAGCTCACCCATGCTGAAGAAGCGCGTGCGCAAGCTGTCCAAGGTGGAGGAGGATCACGATGCATTTACCGAGAAGCTGATGACGCACATCCGGCAGATGCAGCCGCTGCAGGTGCTCGAACCGCTGCTCAATCGCAATTTCCTCATCGGCCACGGCCCCTGCTTCGGCAGCAACGGCAGCCCCAACGGCGGCGGCGGCGGCGGCGGCAAGCTGAAGGCCATATCGCGTGCTCTGCAGCTGCAGCGCCAGCTGGACGATGGCGGCAGCGTCGACTGCGATCAGCTGCTCGGCCGCATTGGTTATTTGAGACACCCGAGCATCAAGTCGTTATACGATAGCGAACGCTTCGGCGGCAGCGGCGACAGCTCGACGGGCAGCAACAGCAACTGCGGCAGTGGCAGTGGCAGTGGCAACAGTCTGAATTGTGGTTCGATGTCGAGCATACAGAACGATTTTTACGATCAGGAGTTCTCGACGCACATTCAGCGGAATCCGCGCGAGCGACTGCAGCGCTTGATGGCCGCCGTGCGCGATTGCAATCTGGAGACGACAGATCTCGTTGAGCAGCAGCAACATCAGCCGCAGCAGCACCAGCACCAGCATCCGACTCCTGCTAATCGCTTGGATGGTCCCGTGGCCTGGTCGCGCATCAGCCGCTATCCGGGCCTGGTGCTGCTCAACACCAACAGCAATCAGCGCTGTGCTCCGGGCCGCATGTCGCCGGTGGCTCTGGCCATGGATGCGACGACGATGCGGACGCCGGTGTCGCCCATTTTGCGCAACTGTGCCGAGGAGTTACGTAAGGCGCAGCAGCTGGAGCTGGGCATGGGCTTGGGCCACAACGGCAGCAACAGCACCGGCACCGCCACCGGCAGCAGCTGCAGCAATAGCATCAACAACAACAACAACTACCAGCAGAAGAACCAAAATGTGATACTCTCGCTGCACAGCTCGGCAACGGACAACATTGCCGGCGTGCTGCGGGACTTGGCCAATCTGTTGCACCTGACGCCCGCCTTAACCTGCAAACTGATCGATGCCTCCGCCGCGGACAAGGCCAAGGAGCCGAGCGAGCCGGAGCCGGGCCAGGGCGCGGGTCAATCTGGGGCCGCTGCCGCTCTCACTAGTCAGGGCAATCTGCGCAAAATACTCACCGGGCAGCGCAAACTGTGCCGCGGCTGCGGCAACATCATTGCCGCCTTTGGGCTGCGTGTGCCGTACCAGAATCTGCCCGAGGAGCAGCCGTCGCCCATGCTGGCAATGCTGCGCTCGCTGCTGCCGCGCAAATCCCCGCCGCCGCCGTACGCCTACTTCTGCAATCGCAGTTGCTATGCGCAGTACAAGTGGCGCGGCAAGGAGGAGCCGGCCGAGGAGGAGGCAACGACAGCGACAGCGACAGCAGCGGGAGCGGGTGCGGGAGCGGGAGCGGGAGCCGGTGCAGCGGCAGGTGCAACGCCGACTTCAGCTGCGCCGTCTGCAGCTAGTGATACGTGCATGAACATGTTGCCCATTGTTAAGGTGGAGCCCGAAGATGTGGATATGGAGCAACAGCAACAGTCGCAGCAGCAGCAGCAGCAGCAGCAGCAACAGCAACAATCACAGCAACAGTCGCAGCAGCAACAGTCGCAGCAGCAGCCACAGAATGAATCGGAGCCAACGCCGCCGCCCGTGAAGCGCAAGTGCATCATCAAGTACTACAGCGCCGACTGCTTCGCAGCCTCGCCAGCCTCTGCTGCCATCAAGCAGGAGAACGAAGCAGCTGCGCCCAATAACACCGTCTGGGAGACAGACTTCAATCCGGACACGCTGGAGGATCTGCGCCAGTGCGTCTTCTGCAATCAGCGCGGCGATGGCAAAGCCGATGGGCCCTCGCGCCTGCTCAACTTCGATGTGGACAAATGGGTGAGTGTGGCGACTGCAATGCAGCAAGCAAGCCGAGCAACTGAATCTAATATCCATGTGTCGTTCCCATACGCAGGTCCATTTGAATTGTGCACTGTGGTCCAATGATGTCTATGAGACCGTCTCGGGCGCATTGATGAACTTTCCGATGGCCCTGCAGTCGGGGCTGAATCAGGCGTGCAGCGCCTGCCATCAGCTGGGCGCCACCATCAAGTGCTTCAAGTCGCGCTGCAGCAATCTCTATCACCTGCCGTGCGCCATCAAGGAGGAGTGCATCTTCTACAAGAACAAGTCGGTGCACTGCAGCGCCCATGCGGCCAACAGTTCGGCGGGCGTCACTGAGAACGAGCTCAGCTCGTTTGTGGTGCATCGCCGGGTGTTTGTCAATCGTGACGAGAACCGTCAGGTGGCCACGGTCATGCACTACTCGGAGCTGAGCAATCTGTTGCGGGTCGGCAACATGACCTTCCTCAATGTGGGCCAGCTGTTGCCGCATCAGCTGGAGGCCTTCCATACGCCCCACTACATTTATCCCATTGGCTACACGGTGGTCAGTATATTCTCAGCTCTTGCAGTTCGCCAGCAGCGAATCTCACCTGTTCCCCTCTCTTGTAAATCCCTTAGAGTCGCTACTATTGGTGCGTGCGCCGGCCGAATCGTCGCTGTCGTTATGTCTGCACCATTGCCGAGGTCGGCTGCCGGCCCGAGTTTCGCATCCAGGTGCACGACGGCAACGACAAGGAGCCGGACAGGGAGTTCCGGGACAGCACACCCTCGGCCGTCTGGCAGCAGATACTGCAGCCCATACAGCGCCTGCGCAAGGAGCACAATTGGCTGCAGCTCTTCCCGCAGCACATTAGCGGCGAGGATCTGTTTGGCCTGACCGAGCCGGCCATTGTGCGCATCCTGGAGAGTTTGCCCGGCATCGAGACGCTCACCGATTATCGCTTCAAGTATGGACGCAATCCGTTGCTGGAGTTCCCGCTGGCCATCAATCCGTCCGGTGCGGCACGCACCGAGCCCAAGCAGCGCCAGCTGCTCGTCTGGCGCAAGCCGCACACCCAACGCACCGCCGGCAGCTGCAGCACCCAGCGCATGGCCAACTCGGCGGCAATAGCGGGCGAGGTGGCGTGCCCCTACAGCAAACAGTTTGTGCACTCCAAGAGTTCGCAGTACAAAAAGATGAAGCAGGAATGGCGCAACAATGTCTACCTGGCACGGTAAGCTACACACCTCTCCGACTATATATAGGTACATATTGTATATATATGACTTACACTTCTCTCGTTTGCATAACAGCTCGAAGATCCAGGGCCTGGGCTTGTATGCGGCACGCGACATCGAGAAGCACACGATGATCATTGAGTATATTGGCGAGGTAATACGCACGGAAGTATCGGAGATACGTGAGAAGCAATACGAGTCAAAGGTGAGCCAACACACACTCTCCCAACCCTCTCTCTCTCCCTTTGGAGTTTTATATTAATATGATGTTCATTTGCCAACAGAATCGTGGTATTTATATGTTCCGCCTGGATGAGGATCGCGTTGTCGATGCCACATTGAGCGGCGGCCTAGCGCGCTATATCAATCACTCCTGCAATCCCAATTGTGTGACCGAGATCGTTGAGGTCGATCGTGATGTGCGCATCATAATATTCGCTAAGCGTAAGATCTATCGAGGCGAAGAGGTGAGTTCCCATATTGGATAATTGAAAATGTTGGCCAGATTCATAAATATTTGATTCATTTTATATTGCTTAGCTCTCGTACGATTACAAATTTGATATTGAGGATGATGCGCATAAAATACCCTGCGCTTGTGGTGCGCCCAATTGTCGAAAGTGGATGAATTAAATAGCAGTAAACGAAGCATAAGCAACAACAACAACAACAGCAACAGCACCTGCACAAGCAACAAAATGGAGTCACCCAGTGAACGCAATTTGATATGATTTGATTTGTTGTTAAGCACACAACCAACACACACACATACACACACACACACACATCGTCAAGAAAATAGTATATTCTGTAAGCAGTATATATGTACATATATTTATTAGACGTATATATATATGTATATATATATATATATATATATATATATATATATGCATGCAAGTACCCGCACATATATTTATATAAACGTATATATATTTATATATATATATATATATGTATATGTGACCATGAATGCGCCTCTCGAGCATATTGTAGCTAATTTGTATCCTATTGCTCATAAGCCAAACGTGTTTTGTAGTATAATTATCTAAACAAAAAAAGAGAGAAAAAAAAGAAACAAACAAAAAACAAAAAGAAAAAAAAAAAAAAAAAAAAAAAAAAACAAAACAAATATAAAAATTTCGCGCATAAAATATTTGTAGTTGCAAATTTTAAGCATGTATTTTATGTTACTTGATGATTCGTATATAATATATCTCTCTATATATGTATATATATATATAAATGTATATATATATATATATATATATATATATATATATATATGTACATTCTCTACCCAAATCCTGTAAACGCCAAGAGCAGACCTGGGTGTGCCTTCGTTCTTTTATTTTTTAAATATTTATATTACAATTTTTTTTTTTTGCTGTTACGAGAGACTGTAAAAAAGGAAGAAAAGAGAAAGAAAATGAAAACAATCTCTTCCCAAATGGTGTAGAATATTTATTTAATGTACATCCAAAACTGAATGTATTTTTTTTTACTTAATTTCTTTTCTATATATCTTAACATAAATTTATCAATTCAAGTGTATCTTTAGTTCTTAAGTAAATGTAAACAATTTAAAACATTTAACAATTTATACATATGTATGTGTTTATATATATATGTATATATATAAAAATATATATGCACATATATACATACCCACAAATATATATATATCTGTATATGTATACATTTATATGTATATATATGCATATATACATGCACATATATACATATACATATATATATATATAAGAAATTTGTTTATTTATATAATATTTACATGAACTTTGTTTTCTTTGTAGTGAAACAATTTAACTAAATTTCAACAATTTACATACTGTATGTACACCGAATTGTCATTAAATATATATGTATATATATGTTTATATATATATATACATATAAAGTATATATGTAAATCGATGTGTATATATATATACTTTTGTTTAAAGTTAAAAACTTTGTTGTCTGTTGATTGTGCTGAATGGGGATTGCTACGTCTTTCTCCTAAGTCGATTTAATAACTTTTCCACTTCTACGGCAAAGGCTAACGTGAGCATTTCGAAATTTTTCAAATACCATGAAATATTGTACATTATATGGATGCGTCTATTTTTATCTAAAAATGATTTATAAAAAACACTCATTTGATCGGCGCTTATTTCATTGGTTCCGCTGAGTTTGTGTAGTTTTATAAAGTCCTCTTTTTCCTGGAATGCAATCAAGAAACATGAATATAAATGAGAGAGAGCCATGGAGCGAGAGAGATAGAAGACAAAGACGTAATGTCTAGACATCTCTCTTATGATATGTCTGTCTCTCTCTTACTCTCTCACTCTCCTTTCGAGAGCTATTATAACAAACCTCATAAAACCGCGAGTTGTGCTTCGTCCAGAAATTCATATTCCATTTTTCCACTTCGATGCGTAGCAAACGTAATTTCTTGGCCAATTCCGTTTCATTCGCATCGTAATGCCGCACATAGGGACGTAAATTGGATATCGGATCTGGCGGGCCAATATAGTCCGTTTTCACCGACTGCGGATCCGGTGGTTGTGTAAGACCAATGCACGCCGAATGCTTTTTAGGCCGTGCCTCTGCTTGGTCAGCTGCATAGCGGCGTGGCCAGTGCTTAATGACAATGGGTATGAATGCTATCAATGGGATCCAAAATAGTTTTAGTTATGCATTACTCACTTTTAAGGAACTTATTAATATCCGAGGTTGTACGGTTCTATTCATTTCTATTTACTAAGTTGTCATGTGTGTGTTTATATATACATATACATACATATAAGTAAATAGTGCCGCGACTAGTGATGAACAAGAATTATCGGAATAATTATGATAACGTTTCGATAGTTCGATTGCTGGCGCTCTCTCTCTCACTCTCTCGCTCACTACGCATGTGTTGATTGAAAAGAAGAGGGGAACTACGTTTTGCCGCTAATGCCAATTGCTAATTTGTTCAAATATAGGAGCATGTTGAATATATTGATTAGTTATTGGTTAAGCTAGTTACAAAGAGGAAAACCCGATAATGGGAAAATGAAATTGAATTTTTCCAATGAGAATTCTGTTACTGTTTCTAAATAGAATTAGCGAAAGTTTGGCAAAGGAGAATACTATACTTACAGCTTTGCATCTTACTGTATATGTTCCACATCTACATATTCAATATATAATATTTAGATATATATCCTTTTTTATTCTACTATAAATTCGTTTAAATTTGGAAGCTTTTAAGCCTAGCCAAATTTGGCGTAAGAAAAGCTTAAAAGCTGGCATCTGTGCCTCACAGCATCCAGCATTTTGTCAGGCACACGACGATATATCGTAAGCAAACCTATCGATACCAGCGATGACAATAACAATAATCAGCTGAAGCAGCTCTTGTGCCACGCAAAATTATAAATTAGTTATTTTTTAATCTAAGGAATATAGAATCAAGTTAAATATAGGACATTGAGCCAGAGAGCGTTGATCAACAGGACGCAGACAGCAGGCAGCATGTCGTGGCTAAACAACAGCCTCGTCACCATCAAAGGACAACTGACGCACTTGGCCCAGGAGGTGTTGGCCGACACAGCCGGACCCGGCGACGATGAATACCGCGGACCTGACCAAAACACTAAGACGGCCGTCGAGCTGCTGGCCGAGACACAGGAGCTGAAAGAGCAGCTAGAAAAATCATGCGAAGACAAGGACCGTGAGGTGAGTGTCCGGGGCAATCTACATAGCTCCTTTGGCCATACGGATTGCTGCTGTGAGAGTCGCAGCAATCTAATGCAATTGCCGCATGCATGGCCGAGAGCATTTGCTGCTGTAGCTATTGCGGCTGCTGCTGCTGCTGCTACTGTTGTTCCTCCATTGAAGCTGCAGAAGCTGCACTTGTGGGACTTCCTGCAGACGGCTCCTGCGCACTCCGGCCAACACACAATTGCCTGGGCTGTGCGCCCCTCGACATATACACACAACATTTAACATTTTGCCACTTGCCTCAACAGATTGCCACACTACGCAAGCAGCTTGCAACACTGAAGACCAGCCAGAAAATTAGCGAAGCTGGCGCTGGCGGTGACGTTGATGGCGCCACAAGAAAATCGCTGGTGAGTCAAGTGAATTTCTGCAAAACAGTTTGATTAGCACGTAGAGCTTATAGAGTATAACAGTAGGCGTGGCAGGCGGTTACGTGAATCGACAGCCAACTGCAGCTGCTGTGTGCAACGTTTCCGGTGTGTAACGAACCCATAGCCTCTTCATGGACCATGCCAAACCATATGTTAGGCATATGTATATACATATATAAAATGCCTAGTTATATACTTATATGCCTATAGAGTTGGGAGTATTGCGCTCCATATCGGTTGGCTGTTTGCTTGGGCTGTTTGCATGCGACGATAAGCAAACGGAGCAGAGTCAGAGCCAAAGCCATCGGCTTCGCCGTCGGCTGCACGTAAATATGTCTCTCTTGCTCATATCCCTAAATTAATATTTAAATTGTGATAAGCACGGGCAGCAGCACCAGCGGCAGCAGCGGCAGCAGCAGCCACTAAGGAGCGGCACCAGCAATGGCAACAGCCTGGCTGCCTTCGTTTGGCTTATCTGCTGTGAGGCGGCGTCCCCTGCTCCTGGCCTCCTGGCAACGTGGCCTTATCAGCGTTTACCTGCTGCCACATTATGTTGCGCACGCCGATAAGCAGCCGGCAAGATTGCCATATCTGCCCGCTCGCACGTTTGCTCCTGCCCCAAGGTTCGCCTTTCCATGGAAAAAGTGGAATAGTTTTGGAAATTTCTATTTGATTTCCCATTATGCTTCACTCCACTATATGCCATATCTATACAAATATATTTATATATATGTTTCTATATACATATGGCTATATAGGGTATATATCATCTGTCCGCCTTGTTTGTTTAATTTACCGAATTACTTTTGATTAGGTCGCCTATCAAACCCTGCCCGCATATAATGCCAAAACCCAACAAAACCCTTTCGCCCCCTCTGCCCAGAGCGACCTGCGACCTAACTGATACGCTCTCCGAATGGTGTTTGGGGTTGTGGCTTAGGTTTTACCTTCCTAATTTTTACTCTTTTTTTATTTTGTTCCCTAATGCCCAGCGCTTAGCCAATCGCGCTTGTGCACAACTGTACCAAAATGGTCTGATTCGTTAAGGGATTAGTATTTAAATATATTTAGTATAAATTTCATATACACATTAAAAATGTATTTTCATATATTAGAAATATTTAAGATATATTTCATATATATTCAAGAAATATTTTATGTATATTTTATAGATATTGAAGCTATATTTTTGGTTTATGTTTAGTAAATCCTTTTTATATTTAAGAAATATTGTGGAACACTTTTTATATCCATTACCTATTTAAACTTTATTTTATTTCGATATGCATTTACGTTGCTCTATCAAGCATGAATTAACAATGGATTAGCCTATATATTTATTATATATAATATATTTGATTATGCTCCAGTGAAGCTAGAGTAATTTTATAAATATTTTTTCAATTGTTATTTACTTGGCATAGGGAAAGTAGTAAAAACTAAATCAGAAAATTTATTGAAAATGCTATAGCCGATCTCTAACGACCATATAATATTATCTGAGTCACCTATGGCACGCCCCACGAAGGAACCTGCTCTAGCTTAACTATTCAATTCTCGATCTAGAACTTCAAAACTTTGATAGATTTACTATTTGCCACGCCTTTGCCACACACCAATGGGAGTAGATATATCTTCTATATATTTTTGAGCCTGGTTTGTCTA